ATAAGGATAGCTTTGGCCATGAAGTATGAATGTCCTGCAGACCACCCAGAGTAGATCTATATATATGCCATAAATAACCTAAAATTCATTTAGACTAATTTCCATATATCTACGCTACGTAACTGGCTGCTCTTATTTATCAATCTTGGTATTCAAGCATGATATAAGAGGAATCCTAAAGTTGCAAACTTGCAAAGAAAGAAAAGTAAAAAAATGCAAATGGTATCTTCTACAATCTATGCTGCTTTAACACTGATGCCTTAACCAGTAATGTGGCATGAAATGAGGAAATCGTGCATATTAAAACTAACCTGAATTATGCCTTTAATCCGCCATGCTCCTTGGTTCTCAACTACAATATCTGGATCACCCGGATGTAATGCCCTGACTTCAGATCTGATCTCCTCCAAACCTACATTGTGATCTATAGTCAACTGCTCAGCAACCACCTTCTTGGATCCACCCAGACTACCAATTACAGCTCGAGAATCGCCCAAATTAGCAACATACAGTGATCCTCTCCATATAATTCCAACCAGGCAACAAGATCCAACTGCTGCAATTGATGGTTTTCTAACAAATGACCCACGTACAAAACTAAGAAATCCATCTTCGGTCTCAATAACAGCACTTCTAAGAATATTTTCAGAAATGGTTCCTTTTTCTTTAGCAATCCCTGTTGAATTTCACAAAATTCAATCAAATTACCACCAAAATATGCAAAATTGATCAAGATATTCACATTCAATTAACTTATCCAGAAAATTCCAGAATTCATCCAAGAAACAACTAATTCCATAGAAAAGATTCATGGTCATACCAAAAGAAAATCGTCTCAAAGAATCTCCAATCCATAAAACACAAGATTGATACCAAAACAAAGAACTATAAATTGAAAAGAAAAGATAATGGCACTGACGGATGAAATTCCGGAAGAGTCGCCTAGATATGTAGCGGGACGCGTCTGGACCACCATGCCCATCATAGACTCCAACAAAGGTAACCTCCCTTCCAGTATCGACCTGGCTGTGATCCTCTATGACCTCATTGCCTCTAACCACTGCGACTGAGAATTCGCCACAGGAGTGCTTTTCGAGGTCTCTGCTCCAGAATAGCGGAGAATGGAGCAAGGAATCATCAGGATCATCATCATCACTAACATCATCCTTGCTCGTACCCAAAATTCTACCCACCAGTTCCCAGCAGGAAAGAACCATCTGTCCCAGCCAAGACGGCATCTTTGCTCATTTCCCTTTTGGATCAAACAATTGAAGACCAACAAGAACAGAGTAAAACCCCAGCTCATAGACTAAACCCCCACCAAATCTCTTGAAGAAAACAAAGAAAGAAATTGTGGGTTTTTCTTGAACACAGAAAACGAACCAAGGAAACAATGGGTTTCAAAAGAAACAAGAAAGCGAAACAACGAAAGGTTTGTACCTTTCAGAAGAAGTGATGAAGGTTTATATATGAAAACAGAGGGAAGATAAGAAATTGTTACCGATGCAATCCTTTTTCTTTATTTTTTCCATTTTGGGAAAGGAAATAGTGTTATAGGGTAGTATTAGACAATATTAATCACTTGATGCGAAAAGGATTTTTAATATTGGGATTTTTTTTATCAAATAATTATTATTTTATAATTTAAAATAATACAGATTGTAAATAGCATACTCTTTGAAAAATATATGGATAATAACGTAAAGAATGTTATTTTATAATTTATTATATTTAGATTGTTTTTTTTTTTAATAATTAATAGAGAGTAAGTTTTTAATATTAAAAGATAATTCCTTTTTCGATAATTACAAGAAATATAGTTTAGACAGACTACAATTAACTTTGCTGTAATTATAAAGATTTACCAGTTTTAGAATATAATGCTTTTAGTGATTTACTTAATTAAAGAAAAAAAAAATGTCCTTTTCAACGGGTAGTTGATTCTGTTAAATTCCAGCCATGATCATGTAGGGCTCATGCTTTTTTATGGATAATAGTTGTAACATCCTTAGATTATTTCAAATTATTCAAACACACACCCATATATTTTGTTTGATTTAATTAAGTCATAGACTTTTTAATTTGTGTCGATCTAAGTTCAGCTTGTTCTAGCTATGTTTAA